GTGGTGGAAGAGGAGGAAGTAGAGGAGGGTACGACCGTGGCTATGGTGGAGGCGGTGGCTACGGTGGATCGCGCGACTATGGTGGTGGTAACAGATATGGCGGTGGCGGCGGCGGCAGAAGTTACGGGGGTGGGTATGGTGATAGATATGATGGTGGAGGACAGTGGTAAATTGATCATAATCTTTTCACCATTTATGTTAGTAGTTTCTCAAAAATGGTTTTAGAAAATTTTGGGGTTGGGAATGAAAACTGTACTTACAGTTAATTTTTTGTATTTTAATCAAAGTGTTGCCAACGTAAATAAAAATATTGCATTTATATTTGTAATACCGGCATACAGCTTGTGGTTTCTCTTAAAGATGTACTGTCTGTCATAAGCTAAAAATATTGGAAAATTAAATTCCATATTTTATTTGTTTAATTTTTATATTTATTAACATTCTATTAAAAATTTTGACTGAGGAAAAATTACCCTGTCGGTTAACAGGCAGTTCAATACCTTTAGATTCTATTTCATAGATGCTGAAATTTGCTGCTTGTCAATTCAAGGATTTTTGGAAATCCTTAACTGTCAGTAAATCAGCAATTGGGAGTAAAATATTTTTTGATTTTTTAAAATGAGTTTTTACAGATCTTCATTTAAATTTGAGCGTTATTTTCCCAATTATTCTTTTGCAGACAGTACGTGTTTAACCTATTTTTTTTTTAAATTTGTATGAAAGAAAACAATTTTGTAATTTACATCCGGTCTGCAGAAAAAGTTTTTGAATTTTGTTGTATCAAATGTATATCAGTAGATCCTAAGTAATCATTTAATTCGCAGAATTTACACAGGGTTATATTGAAAACAGTCAGTAAGGCATTTTAAGCCATTCTGTAAAACAGTGCGCTAAAAATATACTGTAATATATTTGCATAAGATTATCAAAGAAAGGATGATAATTCATTGATTGACTAATTAAACATTTTATGAATTGTACAATATTCATACTCTACTGTTTATTTTGATCTACTGTTTTTAGACATGTGTTTAAATAGCATAGTCTTCCGGACGATTGTTTGCCAGTTGGTATTTTTTTTAGTCTGCTAGTAGTATTGTACAGTATACACTCAGCCTGCATATTTCAAACTTAATGTATTATTATTCTGTGACAGTTTCCTGCAAATTAATTCTGTGTTGCATGTGATGATAATGTTTTCAAATAAATTCTGTTAAATGTATTTTGGGCAATGGAATATTTTATTAGTAGTCAAACTAAATAGAGTGGGGAAGCACCGTGACCCCTAAGCCATTAACCTAGTACCACACCAAGTACCAGTCAGTCAACTCTTGAGAACATGATTCGGATATATACAGTAGCAGGTCAATATTACTCATGGTCATGGTGTCAAAAGTAAAGAAAAACTTAAATATACAAAGTAAATGTTAATAATGTTTTATGTTATTAAATATTCAAAATAATTAGTATAAATGAATATTGTTTTAAGTCCCGATTTATTTTAAAAAATCACGTTAAAAAATAGATTATAAAAATATTCAAATTAGATATCCCTAATTACTAGCCAATAGGGAAAAAAATGGTTGGAGTGGGAATCGAACCCACGACCCGCAGGTTATCTAGCCAGATAAAAACCACTACAACTTAAGATGCGAGTTTGCGACGTCGGGAAATATCAAAGGAGTGATTATTTGGCCTACCTGACGTGTTATCGTACCAAATTCTCAGTACGTCCCCAAATACTAGCCATTAATAAAATTTAAAAAGAAAATAAAAATGATTCGGGTGGAATCGACCTCCTGGTTATCTAGCGAGATGAAAACCACAAATGCTGTTAAGATGTTAGTTTGCCTAGCGAAATGAAATGTTCTTATTAAATATTCAAAATATTTATTATGAATGAATATTGTTTTAAATCCGATTTATTTTTAAAAATTATGTTAAAAAATAGGTTATAAAAATATTCAAATTAGATTTCCCCAATTACTAGCCAATAGAACAATTTTAAAAAATGGTTCGTGTGGGAATCTAACACATGACCTCCAGATTATCCAGATGGAAATTACTACAAATGCTATTTAGATGCGAGTTTGCCTCAGGAAATATCATAGTGATTATTTACCCTTCCTGATAGGTTAACGTACCGAATTACCTAGTACGTCTCTATATACTAGCCAATAATCATCATTCCTGATGATGACATAATTAATGTCAAAATTTCTCAGGTTGGTAACTATGGAAAATGTATAAAAAAAACTTGTATAAAAAATTATGATGAACGATTTTTAAGAAGCCACCAAAATAGGAGTGATGTTTTACCCGACGTAATTTTACTGACAAATACTTGGGATCAAAGTTCGCAAGTTACTCCAGATAACTAGCCTGGTGTCAGTGACGTATTGGGGAGGGGAAGGGTGTGCGCGCACGCCCCCTTTAAAAATCTCCCCTCCAGTCGCCTTCCCCCAAAAAAATCGTCAATTAGTTAAAAATCACCTTATTTTGCGAATTAAAACTGATACTTGAGGTCCCCCATTTCACCTTCGAGCACGCCAACTCCTTGACAGTACGAAAACCATTTCTATAATTAAAAAAGAAAAACAAATAAACCAAATCCCCTGAATACACTCTTTAATAGATTTATTAGAAGAGAGGCCCTCCTACTACAACCCAGCATCATGGAGTTTTGACCAGGGGAAGTGCAAGGCCAAATGAGCTCCGAGAGGCCAAGGGGTTCCTCTTGCTACACGCAACACTTTAATACTGTACAACGCTTTTGACAATACTATAGGACTACATTTTATATTAATTTTTTTAAAAATGCATGGTGCCCTGGCCTGCTGCATCGCCACTCACCTGGAAACCGCGTCACGCCCTAAAACATGGCAATTAATAAAGATATAAATACATGATTACCCATCATAGTAGACCTATTACTGTACATGTTGAAATTGATTGAAACAAATGTATATAATAATAGTAATACTACTGCATAGCACCCAATCCGCCCCAAAGAAAAAGTAAATATGAGAAATCTGGACCCATTTTTCAAAAGTGAACTCATTTTATGCATAAAACTGCATAATTTGGACCCATTTTTTAAAATGTGGACCCATTCTTTGTAGACCCATTAGAAAAATTAGATGAGACTGTCCCAACTGTCATAGCTGGCTACGACATTGTCCACCAATAAGATTATGGAGAGAAGATGATTCGCCAAATTCAGAATTTTTGAAATGGGGTTGTATCTGTCTCTTATACACATCTAGATGTGTATAAGAGACAGGGGGGGGAGTGTGAGGGGATTTGTATTTTTTAAAATTTCAATACATAACATTAATATGCACTGACATCTTAAAAATAGTGTCAAAACGTTGTTTTCACACTTGACACTGTTCTGCTAACTTACGTTCCAAAGGATGTTTGAATGTAATTAATTCATTGTGAAGAAGAATATCTGTTGTTTCATGGGCTTAATTCAATGTGAAAAGTACTGTAATAGGCCTATATACGGTAGTCTGATAACTTACAATAAAACGGCACGTGAATTTATGTTATTATATTATTATTATTATTATTATTATTATTATTATTATTATTATTATTATTATTTATTATTATCGTTGTTTTTGTTATTATTGTGATGAAAAGTTAACACAAACGGTACACAAAGGTCAATGAAGGCGATATGGTTGCTAAACGAACAGACATGTAAAAATATTTTTTTTAATTCCCCGACGGAATGTATTCATCTTCACCGACGGGGGGTTGGACTTCCCCGACGAGGGGGCTAGAGCCCCAACTCCCCCCACCCTCTGGCACCACCACTGAGGGGAGGGATGCAGACAGTAAATTTTACGCTATCGGGCCCACCTTAAGGTACGACATTTGTATGTTTATGGCACTTTCAGATGGTCGAAAGTGTTACTGCCAGACTGAAAATTTTAAATTCAGACTGGAACTGATTGTTAAATTTATTTAATATCCAGGTAAAAGAAATAAAGGAGAAAACATATACTAAATATTTTTACATAAAGAATACATAAAAAATCTAATTTAAAAGATTCTATCATATCAAGAATATAATATTGTAATTAAAATATAATGCCAGCTAAAAGAGTGAAGGAAGTCATGCTTGTCAAAGGTATTTTATTATTATTAAGGCATGAAAAAAAAATAATAACAAAAAAATATACAATTTAGACAAAATAATGGAATCATGATAAAGTTGTTCAATAATTCAGCGGACCAACACATTTTTGGCGGACCAACTACTGACTCCTTTTACTTTGCGGACCCCTAATTATTTTTCACGGACCCCTGGTTGGGAACTACTGCTATATATAGACGAATCACAATGAAAAGAACAAAACAGAGACGGAACTTGGCGGCACAAAAAGTTGGTGCATATATAACTTGGCGGCACAAAAAGTTGGTGCATATATATAATACTGTACTGCCCCGGTTCTTAATCACTTTCATTTGTTTGAAGGGAAAAATTATTTTTAGAGTAGATCTCACGGGAAAGGGAAAGCACCCAGTGCTACTTTTAAATAGTATTCATTGAATTTTTAATGTTTTTAATATTTTTAATTCTTTTCATTATTTTGTTTTTTCTCACAGGCCAAATTGCCTTGCGGGCCAAATTTGACTCGCGAGCCTCGAGTGCTAATCTGATATAATAGTAAATAAAACACTGTTTATTGAAGAATAGTTTTATTGACAATAACTTTTCGCTCAGTGTCCGAAGAAGTGTATTGTCAATAAAACTAGTCTTTAAAGAGTGTTTTATTTGCATATTCTTGCGTTTTATCGATTTTCTCTGTATTCAGTCTTGTTTGTTAAGCCTGAGTACCAGGCAATGCAAAAAAGTGTTCCCCTTCTAAATGAGAATTGGCAATGCCATGTCAAAACTTCCAGGTTTTATTAAATGATCACGCATAGATTTTCCAAAATACGCGGTTTAAAAAAGTTACATGACTTTGTGCGAAACCGTCTTATTTGGGGAGAGGGACACAGTTAACACAATTTACTTAGCATCTTAATTGTTGGCTTATATATTCCTATTAATGTTATTATTATTATTATTATTATTATTATTATTATTATTATTTTTATTAATATTATTATTATTATTACTATTATTGTTATTATTATCATTATTATTATTGTTATTATTATTATTATCATAATTATTAATGTTGTTCTTATGAATTATAGTACAGTATTAGATAACAGTTAAAACAATTTACTTTGCATCTTAATTGTAGGTTTATTTAACCCTATTAATGTAATTATTATAATTATTATTATTATTATTATTATTATTATTATTATTATTATTATTATTATTATTATTATCATCATCACCATTATTATTATTATTATTATTAATTATTTTTATTATTATTATTGTCATTATGAATTACAGTATTCTTATAGACACTGAAAGGTCCACTGATTAATCTCGGATAAGAAAGTATAATACATACTCCAAGTATTGAAATCACGCCATCGTGTTGGGATTCAATATTTCGACATTAATTATGTCATCATCAGGAATATAGACACTATTATTGTAAGTAGGCCAGAAGGATTTGTTTTGTGTATCGTATCCTGGGCACATAAGGATAACAGTTGTTTTCCAACTGAGTTGTTAACTCCGTTAAACAAGAAATAAATCAAATAAATTATTTCTTTACTCATGGCCAAGAATTATTATTATTATTATTATTATTATTATTATTATTATTATTATTATTATTATTATCATCATCATCATCACCATTATTATCATTATTATTATTAATTATTATTATTATTGTCATTATGAATTACAGTATTCTTATAGAAACTATTATTGTAAGTAGGCCAGAAGGATTTTATGTTTTGTGTATCGTATCCTGGGCACATAAGGATAACAGTTGTTTTTCAACTTAGTTGTTAACTCTGTTAAACAGGAAATAAATCAATAAATTATTTCTTTACTCATGTCCAAGATTTAGAATTTTAGGTAGACTTTTTTTTAAAAGCTTCTCTTTAAAATGAATCAGAGAAAGTAATAATTAATGTAGTTGCTCACTGCTTCTGTTGCTCCATCACCACTAGGTCCTACTGTGAAAAAATGCTCCAATGGAAACACGATTCAAAACACTTTACTATTACTAAGCCTGTACACTGTGGAAAAATTTTTGATTTATTTTCTGGATTGTCGCAACATTCGTTTGCAATCCGATTAAAATTTGGCCGAATTTGGTCCACTATCTGGCAACTAACTCTTGTTCGCGCGGATATCGCGCCTTCCGATCCCATAATCCATTCTTTTCTTCGCTTGGGTTCGTCTCTGCAGAAGAACGTGATTTGGTAGCAGTATAAAGAAGTAGTTATTTGCCTATATAATTTAGCTCAAACAAGTGAAGAAGACAGAATATACCATGTCTGAAGACGAAGGGTAAGATTAAGAAATGTTTTTATTGATAATTTCCGAATACCATATGATCGTTGATATTATTCAGGGTTCGTACGGGTCATGGAAAACCTGGAAAGTCATGGGATTTTAATATCATGTTTTCCAGGCCTTGAAAGTCAGGGAAAATATGGGACAATAATTAAAAGTCATGGAAAGTCATGGAATTTGGTAGCATCTTCTTTCAAGCGAGGTTCGGCGATCAGAGACAAGATGTTCTCACTAGAAGTGTAAATAAATAAATAAAAATATTTTAACTATTTTCTTCTCGTGTTTTCTTTCATTCGTAAAAACTGCCTAATCATTCTGAAAATTGCGAGTTCAAATGCAAACACAGAAACAAAAAGTATACAACTGCGAGAGATTGACTGCCGTGGTTTCATTGAAACGCAATCCTATTTCAAAAAGTACTCCCAAAGATGGGCGTGTCTCAGAAGACCATTTCGAGCGAATGCTTTCAAATTGAAATTAGAAAAAACATAGTTTAACTTGTATTTGCATCTGCCTAGGCGTTATGCCTAATACGTGAATTTAATTGGAATTATTTAACTTGTAATTTATAATACTTTAAGAATAAGAGTGTCACGTGTGTCAGTAGTTGCAACATGCGCGAGAAACAAAAGAATTGCCAACCAGCTTGGGCTAGAGTAGAGTGGGCTTAGTTAGGCTAGCTAGGAGCACACAAAAGGATTATCCTTCAATTGATTTCAGATATAGTTTTACATTAATTTATTGAAAAACACATTGATATGAGTAATCTACTGTTTAAATGACAAAAATTGTTTAATATTTACAGAGTTATGCTAAATTTAATAAAATAAATTTTTTCCAGCTTTACGTAATTTACTATGCATGTTTTTTTTTTTGGTATTTTATTAAAATTAGAAAAGTTCTAGGCATATCACCGCTGAGTATTTTCAAAGTGGGAATTCCATCTTCTGAATGGGAAGTTGTCGGAGAACATCGTCCGAGTGTTTGTTTTATTTAGTAATACCCAATTAGGGTCCAGGAAAAGGCCTCATGTGATCCCGTTTTTTTTTCTTATATGATCACACCTATTCGGGATTATGACAAGCACCCTCACACAGATGTGCTTCTAGCTGCCTAGGCCCTAGTCCTAGGCTTATTTTAAGTAAAACTAGACTTACCTTGGCTTAATTTGGAAATGCAGCCCTTATTTTAGGGCCCTAGCTAGTAAGGTGTAGGCCTAACCTAGTATTAAGTACAGTAGGTAGTGGTTGCTTGATGCTTGATAAAGTAGTGTAATTTATTTATGATTTATGGTTGGAATCCCAGAGTTGCATATATTTGAATGCATCAGTATTCGCACAGGTTCAGTATTCAAGCACACAATCGTGATTATGTATTTATTAACACAACTACTCTTTCATGTTCAACAACTACGCTACTAAAATTGTTTCTAGATACAATAATATTTTGAAACAAAATGACTCAACAAATCAACAATCTAAAATCGAATTATCACTCAATTGTAAAGTATTTGTTGCAACCTAAAATATACACGTCCAAATTCTTGCGATGGAAACATTTCTTTGAGGATGTGAAATTGCAGAAGCCAAACACTGTTATTACTTGTTAAAATATTTTTCGTCTACAGAAAGGTGTATGTTGGTAATCTAAGCTTTGATACAACCGAAGGTCAGTTAACCGAGTTGTGTTAACGGGTGCCTGAGGCCCTAGTCTGAAGCCATCCGTATGAGAACTTGAGAAAGAACGTTTACGAATTCACGAAATGCCCAAACTAAATAATCTGTAATTGGTAACTGTAGTATCTTTGGCTATTTCAACTTGAACAGTGTAGGCATTCTGTTGTATGCTGGCCGTAGTTATACAGAAGTCAAAAAGAACAAACTACTAAGCATCTTTTTTAGACCAGTGTCTTTTTTATAAATCTGAAGTCAGTAGACATTCATTGGATTGTTTCTGACCTAATAAAATAACTTAAGATTTCGACTTTCTCTCATAAGACTGCAATTTTAAAGTTCTCTTGGTTACGAATTGGTTGATAGAAATGGCTCTGCTGTACCCGATTACACACATTTTGTTCTTGAATATTTTTTTGTAATGTTTGAAAGATAAGATTTATAATAGCCTTTATAAGGAATGTAAAAGATGATTTGAAAAATTGTATTTTTATAAAGTACTGATAAATATTTTATAATGCATACAAGTTTGAATCAATCTATTGACTCACACAATTCTTGCTGCAGGCATATAATTTCCTAAAGACCAGAATAGGTTGCATTTACCTTGTCTGATGCGGTGGAAAGAATGCCTTAAATATTTTGAGAATAATTTATGGCATTGTGTTGAATTATCAGAAAGTATAGATTTGACTCTGTACATTGATTTGATATGGAAGTCAAGTTAAGCAAGATTTCAAAACATGTGATTCTGTATGAAAGTTATCCAGCTGGAATCAACTGTAAGCCATAATTCTACGCATTTTAATCTTTGATGTCTAAAATTGAGTTGCGTTTTTGAATCTTCATTATTATCTGTATTCCTCTCCCAGTACCATGCAACACTGCTTTGATATCGAGCAAGTAAATCAGATGATCAATACAGTTGAGGGCCTCCACAACTGTGTTTTTCCATAACTTGTTCAATTGGTGTTGAAACACCTAATCTTTTCAGTTAACAACATTCAATAAAATCATGACAGTTTACAGTACAGTCCAATGAATATTAAGTTTAAACAAGTTTTCCATAATTTTTATAAAATTAAGCAGATACACCAGTTAAAAAAGCCAATTAATATTTTGTCTTAACTAAGGAAGTACTTGACTCTATTGTCTTTTTAGTTAAAGTTGCTCGGTAACAAGTGTTGTCACGTAGCGTTAATACTTCAGAAACATATTACTCCATATTTTTTAATTTAGCTCAATCACTGATACACTTAAAAACATGTCAAAATTGCACCAAATCATGTTCTCAATCAACTTGTGTATCCTTAATTTTAAACATCTCATAATTGTATCTCACTATTTAAATATACTTTATAAGTTCTGATTTGAATGCCACAATATTACTGTACTTGGCATATGCATAACTACAATGCATTAAATGCATGCATGATCATTTCCAATATCTAAAAATCATAGTCTACAATTAAGTTTAATACTAATGCTTCTCCCAAAAACTGTTGGATTCTGTTGCAGTTTTTGTAAACCACTTTCTCTTTAGTGTCATTCTGAGATGAAAATGAAAGGTCACCATGTTTACCGACCAATAACATTTAAACTGTATTTTCTTCAATTTTTATACCGATGTTTTCTTGTAGTACTCTATAAGGGCAGTTTTCCTCTAGAAAAATTTTATTCGCGCAAGTCAGAAAGTTTTTCCTATGTGAATGCGCAGTTTAATTTTCAAGATTCTCAATTGCATATTGGTAAAAATTTTAGGTTCGTGCGAATAAATTTGCTTAGTGGAAACAGCCTTAATAGATTTCTTTAAAAAAAACAATATTACAAATGTTTTCTTTATTTCTTAGGCGAAATCAGATCAACATTCGAAGAATTTGGGCAGATCAGCGATGTAACAGTTGTCATGGACCGAGAGACAGGCCGTAGTCGTGGCTTTGGTTTTGTACAGTTTTATGATAAATCGGCCGCTATGGCAGCAATAAGTCGTAATGATATTGAACTTGGTAATAGGACGGTAAGTTCAATTTGATGGGCTTGTTTACCTGGCAAACCACAACTTCAAGAAAATTCTAAACAATTGTTGCATAATATTTTTCTGAAGCTTTCCAAATGATTATTTGCTTTTATTTTGTACCTTTAGGACCACATGATGTTAAATGAAAAATGTTTCGTATTGTGTATCTTTTAACTAGGCCCATGCCATACTCTAGTTTAGCAATAAAAAGCATGTACAGTACAGCCCACAATTACTGCAACGTTCCCACATGTGGTAACTTCGTCGTGGTTGGTGGTAGTAGGATCTCAAACTTGCCTAAATCAACTGTGCCTAAGTTGAAAAATTTTAAGTTGATCTTACTTTACATGCCAAAACATTAACAATCTGTAATTCGAATTTTATCTAAGTCGAACAATATTTCAATGGCATTTTGGATTTGACTTAGGCAAGTTTAACTGTATTATATAATATATAAAATGATAAAACAAATACAGTAAGTGTTCAGTTCAAAACCTGTCCCAATCTCAAATCCATTCAGCTGTTTACATCTGAGCACATGTTCTGCCTTCGTAAACAAACCGCATTACTGCAGTGTATTGGTTAAGAAATTATTTGTCAAAATTAATACAAATCAAACACTACTTTAAATACCTAGTTCTGATAAATCTAGATCATGAACTTTTTTTTAACTTTCAGTTAAGAGTGCAAACCGCAACAAAACCAGGTCAAGGTAAGCTTGTGAACTTCCCACATTAATGAGGGATTTTAACTGAAATTAGCACGAGTTCTGGCTTGTGTTAAAGTAATTGAGGCAGTAATGTACCACTCTATTACAAACCTTGATATCATAAATTCATGATTTTATGAACGTAAAATAGAGATGATACCTAAACGTGTAGATTTGCGTGTATAAAAATAATTTGTACTCTTTGTTATGAACACATTATAATTTATGAAAATTTGAGTTACAGTAGAAACCCTTAATTTCGAACCCTGATTTAACAAATTCCCGATTTTACGAATGTAAAATCAAGGTGATGACGTCATACAAAAATTCCCTATATTTTGAGCGTTTCTTGTAATATTTGTTAATGCTATTCTAAAAAGTGTTACTTGCATACAGAGGAAGATTACCCATGCAATTTTAGGGTGCAAAACTAGTGCTCGCCAATGTGAGTGTTAATAAAAATTTGGCGAGTGATATTCCATCGTGGGCGAGTGAAAAATAAAAAATAAAAAAAATCTGCTCGAATTGTAACTGTTATTATCATGCATACAACATACTATACTGTGTAATTCTCGAGTGAAGGAGGCCCTCTAATGGGCCTCTTCATATTTGGTGTTTATTATGGCTTCACACATGTGTATGCGACAAATTTTACTTCTCCTTTAATCATTGTTTTCAGCTTTAAAAGTCAACATAGTGATTGATTGTTTTATTGAATGATCAATAAATATAATAAACAAGTATCTATGGAAGTTATGTTGGAGTAAAATCCACAATCTAGGTATTTAAGAAGGTAAAAACGTCCGATTAAAAACAAATTTGTCTGGGGCCTAGAGTGGGATCAAAATGCTTAGAAACTGCCTACTATAGGCCCAGGCCCCCTCAGATTTAGCTACGTAGTCCTGTTGGCCTAGCCTAGGCCTAGTTTATGCCAGTGTAAGAAGTGCCAGTGCAAATATATAATAATTTGGGTCAACACCGATCTTACGAATACCCACAATTACGAACGGCTCTGGCCCCGTGCCGTACGTAATTGAGGGGTTCTACTGTGGCTGATGAAAATAACTTCTGTGGTGTACATCATTTCATTTATAAGTGACTTAATGAACATTTTAATTTTTTAGGACGAAGAGGAGGAGGAGGTGGTTATGGTGGTGGAAGAGGAGGAAGTAGAGGAGGGTACGACCGTGGCTATGGTGGAGGCGGTGGCTACGGTGGATCGCGCGACTATGGTGGTGGTAACAGATATGGCGGCGGCGGCGGCAGAAGTGGTTACGGGGGTGGGTATGGTGATAGATATGATGGTGGAGGACAGTGGTAAATTGATCATAATCTTTTCACCATTTATGTTAGCAGTTTCTCAAAAATGGTTTTTGAAAATTTTGGGGTTGGGCATTGGGAATGAAAACTGTACTTACAGTTAATGTTTTGTATTTTAATCAAAGTGTTGCCAACGTAAATAAAAATATTGCATTTATATTTGTAATACCGGCATACAGCTTGTGGTTTCTCCTAAAGATGTACCGTCTGTCATAAGCTAAAAATATTGGAAAATTAAATTCCATATTAGATTTGTTTAATTTTTATATTTATTAACTTTCGATTAAAAATTTGACTGAGGAAACACAGGCAGTTCAGATAATACCTTTAAATTCTATTTCATAGATGCTGAAATTTGCTGCTTGTCAATTCAAGGATTTTTGGAAATCCTTAACTGTCGATAAATCAGCAATTGGGAGTAAAATATTTTTTGATTTTTTTACAGATCTTCATTTAATTTTGAGCGTTATTTTCCCAATTATTCTTTTGCAGACAGTACGTGTTTAACCTATTTAAAAAAAAATTTGTATGAAAGAAAACAATTTTGTAATTTACATCCGGTCTGCAGAAAAAGTTTTTGAATTTTGTTGTATCAAATGTATATCAGTAGATCCTAAGTAATCATTTAATTCGCAGAATTTACACAGGGTTATATTGAAAACAGTCAGTAAGGCATTTTAAGCCATTCTGTAATACAGTGCGCAAAAAATATACTGTAATATATTTGCATAAGATTATTAAAGAAAGGATGATAATTCATTGATTGACTAAATGAACAGTTTATGAATTCTACAATATGCATACTCTATTGGTTATTTTGATCTACTGTTTTTAGACATGTGTTTAAATAGCATAGTCTTCCGGACGATTATTTGCCAGTTGGTATTTTTTTTTAGTCTCCTGCTAGTATTGTACAGTATACACTCAGCTTGCATTTTTCAAACTTATGTATTATTATTCTGTGACAGTTTCCTGCGAATTAATTCTGTGTTGCATGTGATGATAATGTTTTCAAATAAATTCGGTTGAATGTATTTCGGGCAATGGAATATTTTATTAGTAGTGTTTACTATTGACTCATTAGATTGTAAAAAAAAAAAAAAAAAATTTTTTTTCATTAGATTGTAAAAAAAAAAAAAAAAATTTATTTTTGAGCAGTCATACATTGCATGAGGTAGGAAAGCTACAATGATGATAAAGACTGATAGTTTTTAACCATTAAGTTGTACAGGTTTACCTTTAGTCTAAAGCATAGGTGGGCAAAGTGTGACCTATGGGCCACATGTGATCTGGCGGCAATTTTGTTGTGGCTGGCAAAAATATATTAAAGGTCTGAATACTGTCAGCGCCTTAAAACTCGTTATTGTTATAAACACTGACCATGCTCAAACTAAATGGAGTGGGGAAGCACCGCAACCCCCAAGCCATTAACCTAGTACCACACCAAGTACCAGTCAGTCAACTCTTGAGAACATGATTCGAATATATACAGTTGCAGGTCAATATTACTCATGGTCATGGTGTCAAAAGTAAAGAAAAACTTGAATAATCAAAGTAAATGTTATTACAGTAATAAATGTTTTATGTTATTAAATATTTAAAATAATTAGTGTAAATGAATATTGTTTTAAGTCCGATTTATTTTTAAAAATCATGTTAAAAAATAGATTATAAAATATTCAAATTAGATATCCCTAATTACTAGCCAATAGGAAAATTTTTTAAAAAATGGTTAGTGTGGGAATCGAACACACGACCTCCAGATTATTTAGCCAAATGGAAAATAATACAAATGCTATTAAGATGCGAGTTTGCCTCAGAAAATATAGGAGTGATTATTTACCCTACCTGACACACCTGGTTCTTAATTTTTTTGAAGGACAAAAATTATTTTTGATCTCACGGGCCAAATATAATCTTTGTCATGTTTATAGCAGTCGTTATATACATTTGGGTGAAACTCTTTCCTCTAAGATAGGTCTGTTTGAAAGCTGTTTCGGCAATTTCAAATTATACTTTGAATTGTACTAGTGGTCGGCTTGCATCATCAGTTTAAAGGGGATGAGACAAGTGGCCATATATTGCTTTCCTGAGTTCGGGAAAAATACTTCAAAAATTCAAAACGTTGAGATGTAAAGATAATTAGAGAAACAAAACATGATATGATGAGACGGGAAAATCAGGTGGAAACGAGGCTGATCACTTTTTTCAGTTGCTTGGTAGCATTTTCTAACCAACTCATTAATATGAAGAAAGAGCAGCTTCCCAATATAGTGGAACATCCGTTCAAAAGGCATTGTGGGTACACTGAGAGCAATTTTACTGCAACCGCGCGGCGGCGCTATATAGAAATAATAAAGGCGCTGCTCTTGTTCGCTTGTTTCCTTTATTTTCTCCACTTAGTAAAACGTTCAAATTTTACTGCAACCGTAGGAGGGCGAATGTTTTATATATATATATATATATATATATATATATATATGTATATATATATATATATATATATATATATGTATTAATCTTTGATATTTTAATAATTTTTATATGTGAATTATTTATTTATTTTTTTTGGTATTTTATTAAAATTAGAAAAGTTCTAGGCATATCACCGCTGAGTATTTTCAAAGTAGGAATTCCATCTTCTGAATCGGAAGTTATCGCAGAACATCGTCCGAGTGTTTGTTTTATTTTGTAATACCCAATTAGGGTCCAGGAAAAGGCCTTGTGTGATCCCATTTTTTTTCCTTATATGATCACACCTATTCGGGATTATGACAAGCACCCTCACACAGATGTGCTTCTAGCTGCCTAGGCCCTAGTCCTAGGCTTATTTTAAGTAAAACTAGACTTACCTTGGCTTAATTTGGAAATGCAGCCCTTATTTTAGGGCCCTATCTAGTAAGGTGTAGGCCTAGCCTAGTACTAAGTACAGTAGGTAGTGGTTGCTTGATGCTTGATAAAGTAGTGTAATTTATTTATGATTTATGGTTGGAATCCCAGAGTTGCATATATTAGAATGCATCAGTATTTGCACAGGTTCAGTATTCAAGCACACAATCGTGATTATGTATTTATTAACACAACTACTCTTTCATGTTCAACAACTACGCTACTAAAATTGTTTCTAGATACAATAATATTTTGAAACAAAATGACTCAACAAATCAACAATCTAAAATCGAATTATCACTCAATTGTAAAGTATTTGTTGCAACCTAAAATATACACGTCCAAATTCTTGCGATGGAAACATTTCTTTGAGGATGTGAAATTGCAGAAGCCAAACACTGTTATTATTTGTTAAAATGTTTTTTGTCTACAGAAAGGTGTATGTTGGTAATCTAAGCTTTGGCACAACCGAAGGTCAGTTAACTGAGTTGTGTTAACGGGTGCCTGAGGCCCTAGTCTGAAGCCATCCGTATGAGAACTTGAGAAAGAACGTTTATGAATTCACGAAATGCCCGAACTAAATAATCTGTAATTGGTAACTGTAGTATCTTTGGCTATTTCAACTTGAACAGTGTAGGCAATCTGTTGTATGCTGGCCCTAGTTATACAGAAATCTGTTCTTTTTGATACAAACTACTAAGCATCTTTTTTAGACCAGTGTCTTTTTTATAAATCTGAAGTCAGTAGACATTCATTGGATTGTTTCTGACCTAATAAAATAACTTAAGATTTCGACTTTCTCTCATAAGACTGCAATTTTAAAGTTCTCTTGGTTACGAATTGGTTGATAGAAATGGCTCTGCTGTACCCGATTACACACATTTTGTTCTTGAATTTTTTGTAATGTTTGAAAGATAAGATTTATAATAGCCTTTAAAATGAATAATATAAAAGATTGATGATATGCAAAATTGTTTTTTAAAAATAATAAACAACTGTTAAATATATTTGGATAAATGTATTGACTCGCACAGTTCTTGCAAGCACAAAAACAGGGCTGGAAAAAGTGCAAGACCGTGGTCGGAGGAATCATGAATGTCCTGAAAGCATTTTGGGGAAAAAATAAAAAAATTAACTGTTTGTTTATATAGTGTACAGATAATATTTAGTCATGGAGGCATTTTATCAAAACAATTTTTATGGTCGAAGGCACAACAATTTTTTTTTTCCAGGCCTGCATATACATTTCCTCAAGACCATTCAACTTGTGTAATGTGATGAAAAGAATGCCTATAAATATTTTGCAATCTGAAATCTGTTAAATTGTGTTGAGTTATTATAGATAACTATCAGAGGAAGAATAGATTTATTACTCTGTACATTGATTGAATATATAAATTGCAATAATTAATTTGAGTAAGTTAATAAGGGTGATAGTATATTGATGTTCCTTTTGGTATCTTAATTCGATCTATTGATTTTAATGACTAACTTAGTCTAGATTTCAAAACATGCTTGTCTGTTTCACAAAAGTTATCCCTGGAGCTCAAATGAACTGTAAGCCTATATTCTACATATTTTAATTTTTGATGTCTAAAGTTGAGTTGCGTTTCTGAATCTTCATTATTGTCTGTGCAAGTATTCCACTCCCAGTACCATGCAACACTGATTTGTTATTGAGTAAGTAAATCAAATGATTAATACATCCGAGTGGAATCTGCATAGAAACTTACAAGAAAACAAAATAAACTTTTTAATATACCGTATTATTCATATAAGCGCCCCAGGCATTTTTTTTGAGAATGGTTTTTGAGTGATGTTTATTTGAGGGAGGCGTTTTATTTCTGGTTTAAAATGGATACAATACTCGACCAAATGCCCCTTAATGTCACTCTGTAAATGTGGAACTACCACACGTAAGTACCTTCCAAATACGTTGTGTAATTATAGTAAAGACTTGTTGATCCAAATCATGTGAGAAAAAATGTAATTCTAGTAGAACATTAATAGAATGTGTTGAATGAGGTTGCTTCCATTAGAATTTGTAAGTCATTTATTTAAGAAAAAAAATAATACCCCAGGGCATTTATTTAATGGAGACATTTGTTCCAAATAAGGCTCTATTTGGAGTTAGGTGGGGGCGTTTATTCGAATAAATACGGTATACATATTCTCTACATTATATGCTTTTTACAAGGTGGATCATTTACTAGAATAAGTTATGAGTAAAAATTATCTAAAGCATACAAATACTTCCACATGCTTATGCTAATTACTCAGTCTTAGCGACACGATGCTGGTTTTGGAATGGCGTACCACTTATTTGTTAACTTCGAAGTCACTGAAATTACTCCAATTGATGTTCTCAACTCCTGTATCCTTGATTTTATTGCCATTACCGTACTCGGCGATGAAGCGCCCCGTTTGCATAAGCGCCCCCGTGAATGTTAAAATTTCCTTAAGCGCCCCGCTTGAATAAGCGCCCCCTTCTAATTTGAATAAACGCCCCCTCAATAATCCAGTCAAACCTGGGACTGTGGATGTTGGCATGATTTGAGGTGTGGAGAGGAATCACATTCTCCTTTAGTCAATATCAAAATGAGGATATTTATCTTGGACAGATGAGAGCTCCCTGGACAGACTGTATTTCCAACTTTCATCTTCTTACATTTGTCTATAGCCTAGTCCTAGCTCCTTTTCCGACAATTTGCACCTTTAACACATTCTCATCTGAGTTTTCAAGAAAACCTGCAATGATCATGTCGTCCTGCTAATCTCAATCGGCCGATGGCCAACAAGCTAACCACCACCACTAATTTTCATCTGCTATTCTGCTGTTATGTAATACAATCGTTTTTCATTCAAAATGTGCTTCTTGAATTTAATAAGTTGTCATAAGAACCCCTCGATTTTCATCTATTTCCATAAGCGCCCCCTCAATTTCCACTCTGTTTTCATAATCGCCCCGTTCGAATAGGGGCCCCTTTGAATAAGCGCCCCTTAAAAAGTGCAAAAAATATTTGAAGTGCCTGGGCGCCTATTTCGCGCGAGTACGGTACTTACATTTGTATTTCACTATTTTAACATGTTTTAAAAGTTCTGAATTAATATTAGGGGGCTTTCAATTGCACGACGACAGTAGGACGTAGAATGTAATGGAGTCATATGGTCATCTGCACATGCAAGAATGTTGTGCAGAGGATGTACCACTGTAATGCATGAGTGAATCTCTTCTGGCATCGCGTTGTTGCGCAAATCGAAAGTTCCTTAATATTCGGCATCTACAATGCATTGAATGCATGTGTGGTGTTTTCCAATATATGTATCGTACTCCACAACCAAATCTGTAAGTTTAATCTTAATGCTTCTCCTGTAAACTGTCCAATTCTTTTGCAATTTTTGTGATCCACATTCTCTTTTGTGTTGTCCTAAGATGATGGAAGGTCACCAGGTTTATCGGCCAATAATCTTTCAGCTATTTTTCATTCAGTAGTTTTTGTGTTTGTTGCTGTTTTCTTGCAATTAGTCCATTTTTTTTAACAGTTGTTAATTTTTTCTTTTTCTTATAGACGAAATAAGAGCAGAGTTCGAGGAATTTGGCCAAATAAGCGATGTAACAATTATCGTGGACCGTGAGACCGGCCGTAGTCGTGGCTTTGGATTTGTAACGTTTTATGATAAATCGTCTGCTACAGCAGCAATTGATTCTCAAAAACCAATTGAACTTGGTAGAAGGACAGTAAGTTCAATATGATGGAATTCTTTACCTGGCAAATTAAAACTGTAGTTGGCAAAATTCTAAATTTAATTATTGCATGGACCATGCCATCCCAAAACTAGCTTCAGTGACCGGGAAAGGACTTTTCAATTTATTTAAGCTTTAAAATGATGATCATTTATTAAAAACCGACATACATTACTATTGCAAAGTTGATGAGTATTACAGCTTATCTGTAAAGTATACAATGCTGCCACATGCTTATTACTTGCCTTGTATGTTACTTGCGCTTGTTTTGGGATGGCATGTTTCATAATTAGTTTTTCCAGATTCTAATCTTTCAAATGTTTGTTTGCTGAAATTTGTACTACGTACCCTTAGGACCACAGGATGTTGTAAGTGGAAAAATATTTTGAGTCAGATCTTTACTCAAAAAAACAAAAAACCAATTTGATATTTTAATAACTTAACTAAGTGCAGCTAATTAATTTGCTTAAATGGCGTAGCTCAAAATATATCTTGTAAAAACTTAGCAGAAATCATGTTTATACAACTTATTTTTTTATGTATATCTTTTAAACATGCGTTTTGTATGTATAATGATGTAATAAAGGATGTAACTTGAAATTTATAGTCATTTAATTAGGATTTCACATGTATTCATGATGTGTTAAGTGTAATGACTTCAGAGAGCAAACCAGGAAACTGCAGTGGACATTTACTCAAATGCAACAGTGAACGTTTGAAGAATAGACAGGCTATTTTGCCTGATCAAGATTAAGTCGTATGTGAGCAGCACGAGTCAGGTTAATCCTTCCGAATGCATACCAATTAATACCATGCACATCCTACTCTGATTATACAGACCGCGAATGTAGAAAGTCTTGCTATCTAAAGCCTAACTGTATATTTTAGTCATGGTGTAAACAGCAGTACGATTTACCCTTTAAAATTAATCCAGTGCATACAGCTTTAAAGATGTTTTCTTTTCCTGAAAATGAAAAAAAAAAAAGAAATTAATTATTAATAACAATTACTATTTTTACTTTTAGTTGAAAGTCCAAACTGCGACAAAACGTGGTCAAGGTAAGTTTGTGAAGTTTGCCACATTATTAGTGTTTAGCTAAAAGAAGCACAGGTTCTGGCTCTGTGGGGCTTAACTCTTTATTGTTGTCTTATTGCAATTTGAGTATTTGCGTAATTGATCATCAGTCTAAATGTACAGGAGTACTCTGTTACAAACCCTTAGTTCATGAATTATTGATTTTATGAACGTAATCAAGATATCTTGTTTGTAATCACGTTTGTAAAATAGTTAGACCTGAAATTCTAAAAATATAAATATTTATTATTACATATATCCTTATGAAAACATAATTTATGAAAATTTGAGCTACATGAGCTGAATTTTCCATCAATATTGCATTGCAGTATTCAGCACTCCAGACTGAGTATGTTCCAGGACCTGGTGGGACGCTTCTACTGTGCATTCTGCATTCTGTGATGTATTACTGTTTATAATTTCATTTATGACTTTTCATGAACATTTTAATTTTTTTAGGACGAAGAGGTGGTGGTGGTGGTTATGGTGGAGGTGGAAGGTACGAACAGAGCTATGGCGGAGGAGGCGGTGGCTACAGCGGACGAGGATATGGCGGACAGCGTGACTACGGCGGACAGCGTGACTATAGTGGACAGCGAGGATATGGTGGTGGTAACAGATATGGTGGTGGTGGTGGAGGTGGTTACGGTAGTGGGTATAGTGATGGATATGATGGTGGAGGACAGTGGTAGATTGATCATAGGCTTTTTACCACTTGTATTAGCAGTTTCTAAAAAATGGTTGTAGAAAATTTTCGGGTTGGGCATTGGGGACAAGAACTATACCACAGTTAATGGTTTGTATTTTAATCAAAGCATTGCCAACGTGAATAAAAATTCTGCATTTATATTTGTAATACCGGCATACAGTTAGTGGTTTCTCTTGAAGATGTACTGTCTGTCAGTGTCATGAGCTAAGAAAATATTAACATTCTAGATTTGAGTTAATTTTTATATTTAAGTTATTAACTTAAAATAAAAAAAAGTTGACTGATCAAATATTATCCCCATCAATTAGAACAGACGGTTCAATATGGTAAAACCTTTAAATGCTATTTCATTGATGCTTAAATTAGCTGCTAATCAAATTAAAGATTTTTTTAAATTCTTAAATGTCAGTTAATTGGCAAACACTTTCTTAAATCTGTCTGGTGGGAGTCTTCTTGATTTAATGAAATGAGCTATTCAAAGGTTTAATTAAATTTTAAGGGTTACCTTTAATTTCTATTTGGCAGACAGTATATTTTTAACATATTTTTTGCATCTTGTAAGGATAGAGGACAATTTTGTAATACATCCGGTGTGCAGAAAAAAATTTTGGAATTTTGTGGTATCAAATGTATATTATTTCATTCGATAAATTTACACAGTGTTATATTGAAAACTGTTGGTATGGCATTTTAAGCCATTCTGTAAAAACAGTGTGCTAAAAAGATACTCTACAGTATTTGCATAAGTTTACCAAAAAAAGATAATTCAATTCTTTGATTTACTAATTTGAGAATATATGAATTATGTGATATGCATATTGTACTGTTCATTTTGATCCACTGTTTTTAGACTTTTTAAATAGCATTGTCTTCCGGATGATTATTTTCTGTTATTTTAGTCGTCTTCTGCTAGTATTGTATACAGTTAGCCTGCAGTTTTCGAAATTAGTGTATATTCTGTGACAGTTTCCTGCGAATAAATTCTGTGTTGCATGTAATAATAATGTTTTCAAATAAATTCCGTGAATGTATTTCAGACAGTGGGTTATTTTATTATTAGTGTGTGTACTGGTAAAATACTATCATGTCCTTTTTGTAGCAAATTCCATTTAACTAATTTATTCTCAGGCTAACAAAAACAAAATATTCTAAAAATTGTTGGCAGTAGTCATACATATAATGGTGATACAGAACCATCTGTGGCATGACCGCCCTTTTTGTAGTAAATGAAAAATTTCCGTTGCACCTAATAATTTGCCTTGGTTGGAAGGTATATGTTGCTCAAATACCTGTACTGTACACTATAATAGTAGCTGTGGAATTTCAAACAACCTGGATTGGATAAAGATTTATGGGTCGCTTTTCTTGGGTTTTACAATAATTTATCAGTTATCTGACAAGTCTGAGTGGTCTAGGGTCCGACCTTAAGAATAATGTAGCTGAAGGTCCTGATGGAAAAATCATTGCCCTGGGTGTTAGAAAATGTGTAGACACATGAACTTTATGTCTAGGACTAATAATAAATTTCCGTAGTGTCTTTGTCTATTTCCATAATTAGGCAAAATTTTTGTAGCAACTACAGACGTTCCGTAGTATTTGAAGTGGTCATTAAAAATTGCTCTGCAGTTACTCTTAAAATATAAATGTGTGCAAATGAATGTGGTACTAAAAGCATTTATGCTGTTATCAACTTTCCACTATTTTGCAATTGCAAAAAAATAGCATAAACTTGTCATGAATTATACAGTGTACCATTATTGGATACTTATATGTGGCAAAGACAAGCCGAACTAGTCACTTGTAGCAAATCGTGTTTCAGAGAAAATGGCCAGAACATGCTGGAATGTCAATTTGTTAAAAATCTATTTTATTTCACTAAACTAATAACCTTATATGTATACATCATGCTATGCTGTTATTTCCGCCATTTTGAATGTTGAAACAACACTTTTTAAGGATTTGATAGTTTCTGCATGAGAAACGCCCGAAATCATCAACTTTGAAGGCTGATTTCTCATATACCGGTCTTTAAACAGCTGTATGTTATATAAATGCTTATAACTTCATAAGGAATTGTCGGATTTGAATTATTTTTTTACCATTTTGTAGCTCTTATTTTACTCTTTAATAAATGTTAATATAGTACCTTAAAATTGCGACGAGTGACTGGATTGGATTGGCTTGTCTTTGCCACATATACAGTATTAAAGTTTCTAGGGCTACAATGACAAAACATTGAAAATGACTACTCTATGATGCCTCTTTAAAACTTTCCCAAGTTCATTCTACAGTATATACAGTAGGTATCAAAATGCTGGTGGCAATAGCCCCACAAAAGTTTGACAGAATAAGAGTTCAAGGCAAGTGATGAATGAATAAAGTTTGAAATACCTGTATAGAATCAAATGGCTTGTATAACTTTCTTTTTATTATAGTAAGTCGCAGGTGAGCAATGAAGTGTGCGAGTTTAGAAAAGGCAGAGGGTTGGAAACCAGGTGGGATAGAAATATACAGTTGCCTTTAGCTTTTCTAAGTCAGTTTTAATTTACATGCCAAATTGTTTACCATTAGCAATCAAACAGTTTTTCACTGCTGATGGAATTGTGAACAAAAATATGTAGATGGCAGGTTGGGTAGCAAGAACATAGAAAGTATAAATTAGATGCCAATAGAACAGTTCAGAATGAAAAGCGCTGTGTAGGTTTAAAACCAAATTTACGAAATCGTATATCTAATTTTGTCAAACTAGTTTGATTTACATTTTACAACAGTCTGGCAGATTTAAGGACACCCCCCCTATTTCCGCCAACCCGGGTCCCCCTAATTTAAGTCTATGTGGCATTTCCAGCCATCTAGAAGTGCCATATTCTGAGAGTTTGGGGCCAGCAACTATGAAAGCTCGCTCCCCACAAGACTTCAGCTCAGCATGCAGGTATAGCGCAGGGGCGGATCCAGAAATGTCCAAAAGGGGGAGCCGGAAGGGGGGGACGAAAGTTGGGCCGATTGAGACAACACTGTCGTAGGGGGTCCGGGGCATGCCCCCGCAAAATTTTTGTGTTCTAGACGCCCGAACATAACATTTGAGGCATTCTGGGCTATCATTTTTTTCTTTTTCTCTCTTTTTTTCTTTTTTTTTCTTTTTTTTACCTCCCAAAAGGGGGTGCCGGGGCCGGGCCGGCCCCCCCCCCTAAATCCGCCCCTGTAGCGTAGTTCAGAATTCTGAAATGTTCTTGGGGGAGTGATTGTGTAGAGGTTTGTAAGTAATGTGAGGTGTGACAAACAACCAATGAAGGGTGTCAACCAAACGAGCAGCGATTTTAAGTCGAAGCTGTACCCTCCTGATCAATGCATTAGCAAGACCAGCCAGGACACCATTACCTGTACAATAGTCCAGTCTAGATGTATTAGCTTTGAGGAAACATATCATTACTTTTACTCTTGCAAAATTGTGCGATTGGACATAGACCAAGCTGAGAGTGGATATAATTTGATGTCTCGTGGATCCCTTACTAGAAAATGGTAGGACGACTAATTTTCCACTTCTGAAATGGCAAAACTCTCCGTGTCTAGGGGTACATTCCCAAGGCCCTAGACAGTCCACAATTTGTCAGAGGAGATTTCGTTTTTGATTTACACTGTAGTACTGTAAAATTTTCTTTAGGAAGCCTAGTTGATTATAAATTCTTTGGAACCCCTACAATACAGAAGCTGCAATCCAACCAGATCTGACCCCATACAGCCCTGTCTCTTATACACATCTAGATGTGTATAAGAGACAGGTATCGAGTTGTCAACATAAAAAATGTGGATGATAAATATTATATACATCCATTCTATTCAATGTTCTTGTTCCATCTGTTTACTAATTGGCTGTTACATTCATTCTGCTTCCTCCTTCATCTCCACATCGTCCTCAGCCACCACTTGCACAAGTTTCTCTGAATCCTTGAGTTCTGAAAATTTAAGACAATCAGATAGTTAGAAATTAGTTTAACTGATTGATTACAACTCATGAATGAATAAATTTATATTATATAATTCTTTATTGATTTGTATACTGTTTTTTGATGCAGGGAGCTTGAAGTTTTCCACCCAGATTAAAGCCAATTTCATGGCCCTCCACTCACTCTTATTAACCCACTTTTCCATCCTTAAAAACCTCTCTTATTATTTAGAGTTTATTAATGTTATCACCCACCACCCTTAAAATGTCACCACCCCTTAGTTTTCTACAGCTATAACCCTGTCGATGTGAACACCAAAAATAACCCAAGTAAGTCTAAAGACTTGCTTCCAGTGGGGATTTTCTGGTGGTGACTAGTCTGTATATCGGTAGACAATCCCTTACTCTTGCCCTGTACACACTGTGTGTACACAGGCCATTCTTCATGCAGGACCAACGAATTAATGCGTAGCTGCACTTCAACAAAAATTGCACTTCAGCCCTCCAGCTGAAATACATGGAAATCAGTGGATGGAATTTGAATGGGTAGCAAAGGTTCAACAATGGATCTCCACGATTCAGTACACACACAGTGGCTACAACAAGCTATGCTGGCTAAGCTATGCTGCCTCATGGAAAACAAAACGTGTTAAGCCAGGTACTACTGCCATGAGATGAATCCAACCCTGCTCCTGTTAGCGCTAGATGGTGCGACGTCTACAAATTTTGGTGGCAGTCTGGATCGTCATTAACAACAACGAGTTGTACGCACGTTGTGGTATCGGCCAATGACCATACGGCGCAGTAAGTGCCTGGCTTAAATGACCTGGTATGTAGCTGCTTAACTCCAGCTTAACCCATTGTGCCATTCATTAAAGCACCTGTTTCTAAAGAATAGCATTTGGTTTACAACTTACTGGATGCTGGAGGTTTGATAATATGAATGTTTTTCTTGACTTCCTTGATATCTCTCTCCTTCCGTAGTTCCTTTCCTTTTTTGAGTCTGAAAAAGGCAGAAGAAGTTAGCGATTTAATCTTTATGAATAATTGGGGACAATACTACAATAGCATAAAGCTGAAACTACACTACCAAATTCTATAAGCGAAGTACATCTAATGAATTATGAGGGCCACTAACATTTGGGCTTAGATGGAAGGGTCATCCTATAATAAACATTTTTGTTGGTTTTCTACAGTCCAGGTAGGCTTGTAATCAATTCACTTGAGACAAAATTTTACATGGGACATTCTATGTCACAAGGACTTTGCAAGATACCGTAAAACCTCGAATAAAAAAACCATGGTCTTCATTTTTTTTTTTTGAACTTTGGATGGGCTTCTTTTGAAGGGTAATTTTGCGAATTAAAAGCGCTAGAAGCCTTTCCATTGTTGTCGTTTGGATGGCAATGGTTCAACAATAGATCTGCGCCGTGTTACAGGCCTCTGGGACGTCTCATTATCTTACATGGATATTACACAGGTCACATGCTAATTCTATATGGACGCACATTCACTCGGACAGGGAACGTGTGCTAAATTTTCCCTAGCATCATGGCATGCGTGTGTAACAATTTTTCTCTTGTGGGAATCAGGTATTAATTCAGTCTAACCTGTTAATGATGTGTTGGTCCTGTCTCCTCTTCTTAATCTCTTCAACGCGGGCCATTGCTTTAATTGTCTTCTTCCATAATTCACGATCATACTTCACAGGTACATTTCTCCTTTTCTCAAATTCAAATGAATTATCCTATAAAGATTTTTAATAAAATAAATTAAACATCTGGTACACCATGTGAGAAAATATGATTCTGACTCTGAGAATAAAAAAAACAAAAAAACACCATTAGTTTGTTGTTTCAACGTTTCTGAGATTACACCGACTGTCACAGGTGAATAGATAATTTAAATAATTGCTCATAATTTCTAATAGGAAAATGTGATGCACAGTTCAAAGGTTGAAGAAAGAATGTCGGAAAATATTACTTGGACTATTATGTTTTGTATATTAATGGTTTGCTTATGTACCAACTTCTGTATATAAAACTGATGACAGTAGTTTGCCTATATATGGATGCGATATGACATTATTGTGCCCATATATGTGCAGTGCCCATGTATGTGCAATTCACACAAATCTGCTACAAAAAACTGTACTCTCAAACTTTAAGGGACTGGGGCCAACAGGCTTATAATTTACTAGCTACCATTCCAAGGAACTGTTTTTATTACTTATGTGCATATGGGATGCCACGTACGGGGGTAGCAAGTTGGAAAATGTCATTTCCGGTAGATTTCCGGTGGCAGATCCAAGAATTTGAAATAGACAGGCATCAGGGAGAGACTTTCACTAATGGGAGGTCTGTGAATGAATGATTATGGCAATTCTAGATGGATGGAAATTACACATTTATAATTTTTAGAAATTTAGGGGGGAGGGGGAGTTTCCCCCTTGAATCTGCCACTGATCTGGTCAATGAGCTTTTGACATTAATTTTATTTTGCTGCACATTGTGATACAAAACGGCTCTGACTCCCGTGAGACAATTGGTAATTAAGTAGTGAAAGCATGCTAATATTGTGAATTTGAGGGGGATGGGTCACTTTCCGAGAGCTTCTTACTTGTTTGCAGAAGTGCAGGAGGCTGTCCCTGTCCCAATTTCCGGGACACACTCTTGAAATTGGGAGACTTGGGACCCCTGCAAGTACATAAGAAAGATACGCCCTTTCTCATTTCAAAGTCCTTGGTTCAATCATCACCAAAAAACCTGCCAAAAAAAAAAAATTAACGGCCTTGAATTAATGTTGATGTTCTTACCACAGCCAGTTCTTTGCCAGTTGATTTTCGAAAAGCCTTGGTCCATCGTACCTTTCTTGGGTTACGCTTCTTTTTAAATGCTTTGTGGCATTTTGATCGACAAAATCTGAAAATCTTGGGGAAGCAAAGGATAAAAAAGTTGGTGAAATGTAGAACAAAGAAATCATCAGAAGTGAAGATGGTACTTGCATTCAACATGATAGAAAGGCTTTAGTTACTTTATATAAGTCTTTAGTTAGGTCCAATCTTGAATTTTGTTGTGTTATTTTCAATTCTATTCCTCTATATCAGTCGACTAGGCTACAATGTGTTCAAAATTAGTTTTTTCATTGCATATTTAAAAATTTTAATAAGATTAAGACATCAAAATCAAATTGAAATACCGTATTTATTGATGAAAAGAAAAGGGTTTTTGACTCCCTAGCGAAGGCTCTCCTAACTAGCTAGCAAGACGGCCTATGGGCTTACTTATAGGCCTAGCTAGGCCTATGCTAAGCCTAGATAGAAACAGTTTAGTAGGCAAAGGAAGGGTCTACTGTACTCCTCAGCCTGCCTGGGCTGAGTGGGCATTCTTCATTAAACGTCTCCTCCTTCCGACACTACTACTACTAGTATACTACGTACGGCGAGGCCTAGTTTAATATTTACCTTGTTGTCGTTTCTTACAAACTGAATTCCGTGACCAGGATATACGGGTCCGGAGCAGAAATAACACTTTTCAATTCTCATTTTGTTTTCTTAAAAAATACTGTAATTTAAACAAACAGTTTCAAATTATAAAGCAACACCTTTCACCCATCAACTCATTACATGTGAACACGCAAGAACCTATTAAACGTAGAGGGCGCCATTAAACTATCTTACTCAATTCATGCATGAGATGATCACACGCAAGTGACATGCTGTACTGTAGTACGCATACTCCTTCATATTTTGTGCCTCTTGTCATTCGCTAAAACAGGCCTTAAACTGTGCTATTTGAAGGGGTGATAGGAGGACAAATGACAATTACTTGAGAGGAAGCATTGTAATTTTATTTTCCTGTTAGATTCCAGTGTTGTTTTTTTTTTTTTGAATGGCCAACTCAGACTTCGAAGGATAGGCAACAGACAGAGAGCAGTAGAAGAAGGCCTTGACATACAAAATCAACCAACTGGTTGCTATTTATTGGTGGCCTGGAGGGCTAGCCTGAGAAGCAAGGAGGTGATAGAACATAACCGGTAAGTAGTGTCAGCAAATGAAATGAGAGCAGATACTTTCATTTTTTTTATAGATGAACAACAGATATAGAAACATTGCGTTCTACTATTTGAATTTAGATAATGGATTGTAATTAAAGCCTTTTAATTACAATCCATTATCTAAATTCGAATAAAGGAGTCGGGAATTTTAAAGATTTATTTTAGGCCTTAGCCTCCTATAGGCCTAGCCTAGGTTAGTTTATCCTTATTTAGTTAGCTAGGTAGCTAGGCCTCTTAGTCTTACATTTTTTAGGCTAGGCCTAGTTCAGATATGTATCATCAGGCTTGTCTTTTGTTATACCTTATTTTGTGAAATCTTATTTTTTCAACGATCATCAGAAGAGTGGAAAAAAATGTTGTCTCATATTTAATTAAGCAAATAGTTTTGCTAAAAACATTGAATTGGATAACCCACAAAAGTCTGAAAAAGACTTATTTCCAGTGGTGTCATTCTGCTGGTGATTGAGCAGTACACCGGGAGACAATCCCTACATTTTTCCGAATAGTGTACAGCATTCTTAAACATGCACACGGGCCATAATGCACGCAGGACCAACGGTTTAAACGTCTCATTCGAAAGACGGTGAGCTATCGTAACTTGCATTTCGGCCTTCCACCTGAAAGATAAGAACAGCAATGAGAATTGTACCGAGGACCTAGAGATCTTCAGACGAAGGAGAAAATAAAAGTAAACAGTTTAGTAATGGGATGTTAAAATGCTTTAATTTTATATAATTAGAAAGAAATAGTGTACACATCATGTTTTTGGTGATTTCAAGGCAGCGACGGGCATACGTATCAAAATAAGGTTGATCGGCTTGGCTTTACCAAAACCTTAAAAATAACTCTCGCTATCTTAATGCACAACATCTTGGCGTAGGCATTGCCACTTTGTACATGTAAACAAAAACTGTTATTATTTTCTGAAATTTCCATATTTTTGTTGACCAAAAATAAATAATATTTTTGTTGAAATCATCATTATTGGTAGGCGGTGGGTTTGCTATAAACAAGGTATAAAAAAAGTCTTGCCTCACTTGCACAAATAAAATTATACAGCAGTGGATTGTATGGACCTCACTTCTGAAAGTATGTACTGTATTGTTAATAATACAATAAGTGTAGACTGTTTTTTATTCTAAGCGTGTACTTGCTGTAGAGTACGAACAATATTATTTGCAATACAAAATGCAGCTAATGCATGTAGCGCAGTATTTGTTCATATTCACAGCTAAAGTCATTTATGTACCTCTAGTGGATTTAATTGGTGAGCCTACTGTAGGCTAAACTCATTTATCAAACCAAAACTAATAGGTCCATGATCAAACCATCTTGGATAATTGTCTTATTTTTAAAAATTTTCTCAGATGGTTGTTTGCATTAAAAAGATTTTGGGGATAGCAGACTTCAAAGACTTAAGTTGAACAAATTGATTACTCACTAAGGTTAAAGTTCACATTTTAATATCTTGACCTAGCAAGAAATTATTATTTTTTAATACATATGATACAATGATTGATGTGTGTGTTTGTTCTTAGGCCTAGCCTAAGTCTTATATTTCAGTATTATTGTGTGTGTTTGAGTTGGCCATTATTGGAAAGGAAAAAAGGGAGCTTTATCTTCCTTTGAAAACATGGTCAAGAAACAATAAAATTGGTTTGAACAGTACTGTACCACTGCCTCAGTGCCAGTATCCAACAAATATTTTTAATCGAACAATTATTCTTCATCCAACAATTGGGAAATTTGAAAGTTCTGCTAACACTTTGTAACTTGATGCTCAATTTACTACAGGTATTCATCTAATGTACATGTATGCTGTAGCTGTAATTCATAGAATAATTATAAATTTACATAGCAATGTCTGGTAGGTAAAAATAACAACCCTGCCCTATATAGATTGAACTTTGTAATGTATAATTTTGGAAAATAATTTTGTCATGTCTTCTGATGAATGATAATAAGTATATCAAATGGATTGTTTTTGTAATTGGAATTATTTGGAATAAGTAATTTTGTTCTTTATTTAGTCTCGATGACGAAAGTCATTATTAGCCTTGTATGCCACAAAATTTACTCTGTTGTATTATCATCATACTTAATTACAATTATATACAATAAAATACGCAAAAACAAAGAAACTTACGATTACTTATTAATTTTCATTTGATTTCAGTTTTTTCAGCACCTTGTAAGGCAAACATGGAGGAGTCTAGTGAAACTAGTAATCATGCTAGTTTGGTGCCTGCTTCTGGTACTGCACTTGATGAGAAAGGGGAACCTGCAGTTCCAATGCCCAAACAATCACGTTTTAATGTGAAAATTGTTCACGAGCAACCAACAGAAACTCTACCACGGAATAAAGGCCGCATGTCAATGGTTGATAAGAATGACACTTTAAACGAAAGTATGCATGTGACTTTTGGACAGAATACTCATGAAGCTATTCCATCAATTGCTTACTACAGGAATGTTTTCTCAACTACTGCTGAAGCTAAGAGGCGACCAACATTGGCAGAATTGCATGAACCTAAGAGAAAGGTGTGAAATTATATCTTTTATAGTTTAAATTCATTATAATCATATCCCAACAATAATAGATAAAAAGACAGAGGTAAGCTAAGATTTCTTATACCACATTCAGATCGGTTGTAGCAATTGCGAAGCCCAATCGCAATCCACAATCGTGTGTGAAAGCTCACCAATAGTAGTCAATAAGTAATCGATATCGCAATTGTTAGCCGTTGTGATTGGGTTCTACAATCTTTATTACTCCCAATTACCATGGAATCCGATCGAAGCGAATTTCACAGGCACTGATTGGCTAAGGTCAGTCAACATAAGTCTAGCCACCGGAGGCCTATTACCATTTTACCTCCCGTTCCAAAAGATTTTTGTGTCTGCCTTGGTCTGAATTCACTCGTTGGTTGCGAGCAGGAGTGATTAGTTTTGGATTAACACTGGCTACATTGCAACCGATCGCATTTTTATGAGTGTAGTCTGAAAAGTGTTAGTAAACTTAGTAGTTTTATTTTAGTCATGAGAAAAAAAATCCTGGCCTATACCTACTGTATGCAAATTAAATGAGATTTCAACCATAGACCTATAGTGGCAAATATTTTGGCAAATCACCATTGTTTGTTTGAAAAAAATTCATAGTATATAGTTGTTTAGACTGAGTATTATTATGGATAATGCAATGATTAACTTGAAATGCATAGGTTTATGACAAAGCATTTTGAATGACTGTGATTGGTCTGTTCTGCTAGAAACATTATTCATTTAAAGTTAATGATTTCACCATACATCCTCATGGTTTAATCTTTGGTCTTTGGTATACTTTGTCATAAATCAGTAGTCGATCTTAAACTTGTTAAATTTTGCTTGTGCATTGGATTATCTAAATTTATTTTAATATTTTCTTTGTAACCGTCTGCAAACTTGTAAAAAATCTCATTACTTACAGTATTAGTTAAATTATTGAATAAATTCATTGGATCCAAACGATAAAAAAAGAAAGAACCTTTAAAAGAACCCTTATAGTACACACAAGTATTAGTTGAATTGTCAAATAATACGAAAAATTTAAAACTATAAAATTGGAAAGCATTTCCACCAAACCACGTTTATTCTATTCAACTTTGTAAATTGATAAGTCTATTTCATGAATACTTACCTGGTAAATCGACTAATTGCCATTGTTCCCGAAATGGAACACCCCTTCGAAAAAAAAAATAGAATAGTCTAACCCAGAGTGCCACATACAAACTGTCTCCCTAACAATCGTCCTCATTCCCTATTTTTGTTCGCGTCATTGGCAACAGCTCCTGGATTAATATACGATTTATTTATCACTTTGACCTTTGGATTTTTTAACGGCTATATTCTATTCGGTAATTTAGTATTTTTTGTTTGTTTTCAGGATGTTGAGAATTCATCACCTGAGGACCAAGAAGTGGGCAATGTTGTCCAGTTTCAGGGTAGTAAATTTGGCTGGATCAAAGGTGTTTTGGTAAGACATGGTTGATGCTTTTTAGTTCAGCAAGTTTTGTGATGTATTGAGAAGAAGCAATATGGGGTTTGTTGTCATCCCAAAACGCATCAGTGACCAAACAAATAAAAATTATTTTATTAATATATTCTTATCCTCCACATTGTAAGCTTTAAAATGATAGGTTGTTTTCTGGAATCGGATTACTATTACCACAGTTATGAGTAAAGGTATTATGGCATTTCTGTACTAACGTATTCAATACAGTGCCGCATTATTATGCTAATTACCCGGTTTAACATTTAGCGACAGTACGCTGGTTTTGGAATAGCAAGCCTCATATGAGGGTGCTGTCTGCCTGACTTACTTTTGCTATATCACATTAATATATTTAAAAATAAAAATACATGTTTCTGTTCTATAGTAGCGAGACCAATTCTTACAAAACTACCAGTGAAGAAGGAACGAGACCTGGTCATGTAGTGATGGCCATGAATGCTCCCAATTAAAACCATCCTGGGTCTCAGAAAATGTGATTTGTAAACAGCTTTTTTTCTTTATGTAAATTGGTCCTTAATTAATATTATCTTGCAGGTCATTCACATGTTACAGTGTTCTTGATACCTAGAAACTTTCCAAGCTCAGAGGATTATGTATAAAATTAGCTATTAGTCATAATTCAAACTGGATTAAAATGACAGAAACAATTTTTTTTTCCAAAAACCATAATTTCATAGTTCTCCATTCCAAAGGAAAGGTAGAATTATTTAAAATATTGGCAAAACCTGTTTTTAGTTTAAGTCAAAATTACTTACTGCTTGTTTTTTTGTTGTAAAGAGCATTGAGGCTTTTTTTCTGTGGAATGTGCTATAAAAGAATGAACTTATTTAATATTATTCTTATTAACTTTTCCAAAAATTATTACAGTTTCTAAGAGGCTGTGATTGTCATGCTTTTCATTAAATATTAGTGGTATGGTCAGTTGTGTATTCAATGAGGAAGGTGCACTGATGGGTAGATGTGGGTTAGAGACAAAGACCAATTAAATAACATTATAGGCCTGTACTTTCAAAATTAATCTATTTTCCCCGCACACAGGTACGATGTCTTCTGAATATTTGGGGCGTGATGTTATTTTTACGTCTAACCTGGATAACAGGCCAGGCAGGAGTTGGTGAGTTCATATATTTGCATATATTTGGTGATCGCTTTACAAGCGGGTCACCTCTTGTTATTGTCACAGAATCTCTTTTTAAAATTCTATTTCCTCCCATTTCTTGTTATCACGATATCTCAAAATCGCCATAAGCTACGAACAAGTCAGCTTCAACGAATATTTGGCTTGGCTTGGAATAGTCACAATAAAGTTTTCAATGTGCTCTGTCATGCGTAATGTCATCTACGCGCAATTTTGCATTTTTACATTATCGATTATCTCTTCCTAACAAATTAACATTTTTCTAAATCATATTTAGTGGGCATAAAGTTTGAATCTTGTACTGAAATATTTTGGGTACGAGTCACAATGTGCGTGCACGCATGTGTCGAATTTTTGAAATGCTCAAAATCACTTTTTGACTAAAGTAGAGCATATATAGACACATCAAGACATGGGCATACATAAGATTAATATTTATATTCAGTTTAGAAGAAGCAATAAGAGACACCCTAGTGAAAAATTGATAGCATGCACAAGTGATTTAATAGATACAAAAAGAAAAGTTTATCTTACCGTGGTGCTATTCTCTGGAACACACTGGATGAACATGTTAGAGATTCTTCAAATGTTAAAATATTTAAAATGACAACACAGCCTTGTAGAATAACACCCTCTGGGTGAAACAAGCTTTCCGTGTAAAAATTAAGTTTTAATAATAATAATAATATGCTATATTTATAATAAATAGCCAGTCACTATTACAAGATCATGATTGTAATTAAATCAAATATTGTTGAAGCATGAACTAATAAGTACTACTTATACCATGATTAAAGATTACCAAGCAAGATTAACATTAAGCAAGAATTAATTAAAAAAGTGTCTATTTAAAGATACTGTGTTTTAAAGAGTACTTAAATCACAAGTTGGAACTATGAAAACATTCACAAATTGATACTATCTGTGTTTAAAACAAAAAAAGCTTTCACTTTCTGTTGAAAACTTGAACAAGAAATTGGCTTATCTTTGTGACAACAGCTTTATTAATAAGGGGCCGTTCACAAACATCAACATTTTCACAAGTATGTGCTAAGGGGATTTGGTAGACTCATTTGTTCACTTTCACATACACTGCAGTATGCATGAACATTTTTACTCAAAATAACATACAATATCTAAAATAATAGATTTTTATTACCAGTTATAATTGCAGCCATGGATATAATATACATTTTTATGTAACAAAGTACAGTATTTTAGTTGCCTTCACAAAAAATTGCAAATCAACATTTTTTATGTACACTTTTAGGAAGGGAGTACCGAAAAAGAGTACTGTTTGTACATTTGCAAAAAAATTTGACAATTGTAAACGACCCCTCATCCGATTCTTATTTTCTTTCATTGAAACTCAAATTGGTAATATTATTAATCAATTTCAGAATTTTTTTTAAAGTAAACTTATCTTGATTTATCAAAAAAATGTTTTTGTCTAATTCTTATTCAAAGTTAACATATTTTAGCCATACTGTATATGATCAATTAAATATTTTATATTTTTTAAGATTTTTCACATTTTACTACCAATAGTATCTCTAATTTTGCTTATTTCTCAGCCACTTTTAATAGTGTTAATTTGATTGAATGATGTTATACTGTCCTTTTTTTTAAGGATGCGCTACGATCATCATTCTAATGTCAACAGTTGTCACAGTTTTAACAACATTGTCAATGTCTGCGATCTGTACTAATGGCCAAGTGAAAGGAGGTAAGAATCATTAACATTGATTTACATTCACATGACATTGTGTCATCACAATGTCAGCCATTGAAATCATCAATTTGGGTAAATATTCATGTCTATTTTGTGAATACTTACTGAATGTATTGATATGTACAGTAAGCCAGATTCCCAATAGGTCTTACTCATAAATATAATGGAATGTCTCACCCAGACGTATAATGCATAAACCTCTTGCATAACCAGCCTCAATTTTCATTTTTTGGGATTGAACATCATGAATGATAAAGGCATTTTAGCTTTAAATATTTGTATGTTATATTTTTTTTATTGTCTTAAGCGATCTTTCTGCCTGTTTATCTGTCAATTTATCTACATTATTACTTGAAATGACTAGAGAACTGATAATCCATAATTACCTTATGATGGTCCGTGTACTATCTAATGCTATGTAAATATATCAGAAGTAAATAAAAGTTGATAAATCAATAACCCACTCAAAATCAAAAGATAATATTTTATTAGTACATCATAAAACGTTTGAAATTTGAATTCCATCTTAATATAGAATACAGTAAACAGTAGAAATATGATTAAAATTACCTTAAGATAACATCCAGACTGTATAAAGTTTATGGTCTGCCTATTTGCAACCTACCTTCCTGTCACAGTGTATGGTTTCTCTCTGTATTGCATACCTTTTTATTGTTATATGAATTATTCATACGTACATATAATTACTTCAAATTCATGTATTGTACTATTATAATTATTCAATATTTATCTGTGTTTTAACGCCGCCTTTGATGACTTAATTAATTTGAATTGGATTCACGAAAAGAAATGAAATGCAGTCCATATGTACAATATTTACAACTTGTTTAATTTCACAGCACTCTACATTGAAATGAATAAATAGAGTAAATTAAGCAGTGTGTTATGTCGATGTATGATAATTACGCATCAACATTTTGAAAGTTGCATAGCTTTAGCGAACTAAGTGCTCACTACTACTAGTAGGTGTTTATAAAAGATTGTAATTTTAGTTTTCCATATTATAGATCATTTTTTTTAAATTCTTACAATGCAATATTACTTTTTTCCTAAAGAAAATCAATCAATTCTAATTTATTTACATTTAATTTTCTTTATAATATATTTTATTTTATTTTTATCATTCAGATTCGATTCTTTCTTTAAAAAAAAGATATTATTTTGATGTTGAACTATAGTAGTTTTATGTATTAATTTAAATTCTTTTTAATGTTTACAATTCTTAATACCTACTGTACATACATGGTCCCTTAGTTGTCAAGCTCTGCCAAGTTTTTTGGGTTATTCCTATTTTTAAACATTTCTGTTAATTATATGAATTTTGAAAATAATCTACAAATATGAAAATGATGATAATAATAAAAAAAAGAACAAGACAAGAATCTCTTTATTTAATTATTCGTGTGGAGTCGTGTGGTAGACTTACATGATGGATTCCCTTCATCCATCCATCACCTGTTCCTCTTCACACATTGCAATAATGTACGTCGTAAAAGTGAATAACGCACCATGTTTCCTGAACGTGTATGAACTCGCAGCTATATCTCACTCAATGTCTACCTAACTGGTAATTAAATTTTGGAGGTCAACCTTCTGAATAAATATGGGAATCTTAATCACACCACATTTTCGCAGAATTATTAGATTCCGATTAGATGCATCCTTTCAGAAACGTGTTACATTGGTTATAAAAAAAATGTAAGCCATGTTTAAAGGTGATGACACTCTCAACTACTCAGAAGAGGGTTAGCTAATAATCAGGAGTTCCTTTGGAAGTTTATAAAATAGTATTTTTTTGTAAATATTAAAGTCTATGGAAATTTAGAGTAGCCTAAATAAAGTAATTGAGTTGTTTAATGACAATGTGAGATGAAAACATTTTGCAACTCTAATGCCCTGACAACACAATAACATTTTCTGTGATGAATGTCCATGATTTGCGCATATGGGGCTTGCCATGCCAAAAGCATTAGTGACACTGAACTTGAAAATTAACTTGTTAATATGTTCATATCCTCAAACTTATCGGCTTTAAAATGATGAGTCATTTACTAGAATCGACTTACTAATTGCCAAAATTAAGTATTACAGCTTCTCTGTACTAAAAGTATTTCGCCACATTCTTTGACTCAATACAGTTTTTTTTTATTAGTTCATCATCCTTGCATGCATGCGTTCTGTGTTATTAAAAAAAATATTTGTAAAAAAAATTTTTTTTTTGAAATTTTTTTTTAATCCTTTAAAAAAAAAAATATATATATTTTTACATTTTTTTAATTAAATGATTAGTAGATAGTGTTTGTATTATCTCAATCATGATATAATTTGAACAGTGAACAACCCAAGGGTGATATTTGTCTTTAGCAAAATAAAATTAAAAAATGCCTCCCTCCCTCACCACATTTCCAACCTAGATAATGTTATAAACTAATATTTTTTTTATAGGGCCTTAATGATTTCTAACTGCACACATTTTGCTAATTTATAGTGTCAACTCTATACAGTCTTGAGACTGATTTCCAAAATCTGTTTACCAAGTATGCACACAAATGACATTGCACTCTATTGAGCTGTAAACAACAATGTAATGAACAATTTGAAATTATGGTTATAAATAAAATAATATAATAATTATTTGGCATTCCTAAATATATATGCTATATCAAGAAAGAGGCAATTATATTCTTCTTCAACAAGGGCTTTATATTTAAAAAATAGGTAAGATTTTATGAAGTGGTCCTTTATTTAGAATGGATCTAAACGCAAAACTACAAAAAAAGTAAATGTATTATAAACATTGTGAAATGAATGGAAGCAACATGTGTTGCTTTCATTAAGGACAATTTATATTTACACTTGATTATATAAAAGTATCTATCAGAATACTATCTAAAAATGCAGTGATTCTCTCAACTTATCTATTCAGTAATGTAGAAATCAATCATCTCCCACCATTTTGACTGTTGCAGTGGGGTATGGATTTATTGCAGTTTATTCCATAAATTGCTCAATTTTAAAATTTGAATTTTGAATGAGTAGCTCAGTTGAATTCTACAAATACTACTTTTAGGGGGGAAATGCATGAAAAGATTGACATTTAATTCAGTACAGTATGCAGTGTGGAAAAATAGTCATTTGGTTTGCCATTCCTACATATTATATGACATGCTGTCAGTTTGAACCACCTTTTTTGTGGGGGAGGGTAGGTGAGGGCGCTTGGAAAATGGATTTTCCTGTTATAAGACCATTTCCATAATTGGCCCAATGTCATCTTCAATAATAAGTTCATACTCAATGAACTACAGTATGAGTTTTAGATACTACCATATGCATATCAAATTTTTATAAAAATCATATACTTTTTAAAATAACATACTAATAACTTGTGGTATGTGTACCAGAAAAATTGAGCTTACAATTCACGTCAGTTGGAGTAGGTGACTTTGAATTCCATACCATTTTTGTCATTCAGGCTTATCAAAATGCCCAAAGGCAGATGATGTATATGATATGTAATTATTTATGTTCATTTGCAATGAGCCAGAGATCTACGGCTGATGCGGAATCTAGGATTGCAGTTCAAAGAGTATTCAGTGACTGCTGTCATCTGTATTAACATGTTCAAGCCAAATCATGAGAGCTAACTATTACAGTAGTAGAATACACAATGACAACATAGAGTACACAACAAGAATGAAAGTTCGAAGTACATGATAATTATATGTATTCTATTAATTGTGATTTGTTTATAAATGATATTGTAGTACTTATATTTCAGACATATCAGTCCATAGTACAGAACAAAAATAATAAGTCATAAATATAAAAAAGTCTATATCATCCTAGTACAATAGCTCATTCCATTTCCAGTTAGCTATCTGGCTCCAAAAACTGTGACTAATTCATAAAATGAAAGAAATCCTAAAGAAACGAACACAGTGCTTCGGTCGGTGTAACAAC